GAGAGAGACCCCCCCACCCCAGGCCCCGGGCCGGGCCGAGGCGGCGACGCCTCCCCGAGGTCGCGCCGGGGCCGGGGGCCGCCGCGTCGCCGAGCCCGCGAGTGACAGGTGCCGCCGCCCCTCCCCGCCGGGCATCGCGCTCCCTCCCCGGGATCCTGGCGCTCGGAAATTTCTAGAGCGACGACCTCAACTCGCCGTTTTCTGCCTTTCAGGTTTTGAAGCCGCTTCTTCGCTCGAGTTGGGTCTCGCCCAGCCCTGTCTCTTCCTACGTACTTTGTGCGGAGAAGTTTGGGAGCCCCGGCCCGCGGTGAATTTGGCTTCATTCATGAGCGAGGTACCTCGTGAGTTACTCTCGGGGAGAGCGCGCCGCCGCCTCGCCGCTCGCTGTGGTAGAGCGCAGGAGCGGGCTGTGGGGTGGTTACACATTTATTATTATTATTATTATTATTATTATTATTATTTCGCTGTTATTGTTTGGAACAAGCATTCCCTCAGGATTTTGTGAAATGGCTAGAATTTAGGGTGCTTAGTAGATATTGAACAGGAGCGACAAAATGGGCCTATGAATTGCCTTCTCTTTCCAGCTTCTTTTAGATTTTTAAATTTTTTAGTTAGATTTTACAATTGAGTAGGTGCTATGGCTTCCATGGGAAGCACTAATCTCTCTTGTACTGAAAAGCCAGTGAAAAATTTTCTCTGCCGGTCAGTATTGCCTGTTTATGTAGTAACTACGTTTGTGATTGTAACCTGAGTCGTCAGTTTAATAAGTTTGACTTGCAGCTCTAAGAATATTGGAGAAACTTTATGGTAAATTAAGGTATTAAACAATCTTTAAACTTTGGAAGTATAGGGTGTGTTTCCCCCCCCCCCCCTCAATAGGTTTATAATACCGTAGTCGGTATTAATCAAATCCTAATCAATGGAAGATATTCTTAATTGTCATAAATGGTTACAACAGACTTATTTATAAGATACCAAACAGTGGCTTCACTCGATAAACTAAAAGCAAGAACCTGCAAGTTGACCAAAAGAACACTGAGGCAAATGAAAATACATGTGCTTTATCGATGGGAGAATCCCTTAGGTCCTCAGTATCTGTTTGTACTTTTTAAAACATATTTTTAAAAAATATATTTTATTGATTTTTTACAGAGAGGAAGGGAGAGGGATAGAGAGTTAGAAACAGCGATGAGAGAGAAACATCGATCAGCTGCCTCCTGCACATCTCCCACTGGGGATGTGCCTGCAACCCAGGTACATGCCCTTGACCGGAATCGAACCCGGGACCCTTCAGTCCGCAGGCCGACGCTCTATCCACTGAGCCAAACCGGTCAGGGCTGTTTGTACTTTTTGCTTAGATTTTTCAGCCCACAGAAATTAGGTGCTGTGGATTGGAAAGGGGAGGCAACATTTATGAAGAAAATATGGAACTTAAGGCAAACCCATAACGTTTACATGGTTTGTTTGCACCAATTGTGTTGGGAGCAAAGTGTTGGTACACATTTGGCACTTGTTGGTTGTGAATCTTAATTTACAAGAAGCTAAAGTGCAAGATATTGTTCAGTTGTGTTATTTGAGGAACAGAACATGAAATTATACAAATTTTAAATTTCACCAGGTGTTAAATCATTGATGCCCAATCCCATTTCATTTTGTGCTGTTTTATAAAAATGTAAGTTATAGTTCAATGAGGCCACACCAATCAGACTAATTGGTTGATAGTGTTCATGGAAGATGATTGTCATTTATTTTATAAAAATGAATAAATATGATTATCCTTGACTGAGGGTTTTGCACATATGTCGGTTTTGAAGCCCTAATTGAGGTATGACCACAGCTATTGTCCATCTTGTCCCTAGAGAGGTCATAGTGAGGGATGAGGTCATAGTGGCAGTGGTCTTCAGAACCTCAGCAGAGACCAGCTGTACCAACCATTTTGAGATCCTGCTGCTTGCAGTTTAGGCTATTCATTTTTTAGAAATAGTTTATTTTAAGCACCTCATATATCCTAATTCTTTTTAATCAACACTTTAAAACCAGTTTTGTTTTCCTAAACAAATAAGTGTCTTAAACAAAATTAGTTGTGGTGATGATAAGTTGGTAGATTGGCACTTAAATTGAAACAACTTTGAACTGCTAATAATCTTGAATTCACATTTGCATTATGGAATTGGGGATTATCTATAGAGCATTTTGCGTTTTCTTTTCCTATCCATTCTACTTTAGAACACATCTTTCAATGCATGTGTAGCCTTGTATTGGGGGAATGTAAGTTTTGGGTCTTCTTTAAGAAGAAGGAAAAAGATAAAAAAATGTGAACAATAAAATGGCAATAAATATCCATCAACAATTGAATCTAAAAATCAAAATAAACAAACAAGGAATCTAATGAACAAAATAAACTGATGATAAATAGAACCAGAGGCATGGAAACATGGAACAGACTGATGAATCTTAGAGAGAAGAGAGGAGGTGGGGTGGGAAGAGATTAACCAAAGAATTTATACGTATATATACATTACCTATGGACACAGATCAAGTTGGTGGTGAAGGCCTGTGGGGGGGAGGACTAGGTAGAGAGGGGCAATAGGGGGAAAAGAGAGGGGATCTGTAATATTTGCAACAATAAAGATTTGGAAAAAAAAAACAAATCCAAATTTAATAAATTGATTTTTTGTGTGCCAGGTCCTGTGGTTTTTGTTAGGATGTTGAAATCAGGGTTGTAGGGGGCTAGGCACAACAATAAGCATAATCTTTAAAAAAATTTAATATATTTTTATTTATATCAGAGAAGAAGGGAGAGGGAGAGAAAGATGGAAACATCAGTGATGAGAATCATTGATCTGCTGCCTCCTGCACACCCCACATTTGGGGATATAGAGCCCGCAACTTGGGCATGTGCCCTGACCAAGAACCAAACCATGACCTCCTGGTTCATAGGTCAATGCTCAGCCACTGAGCCATGCCAGCTGGCAACCATAATTTTAATAAAAGTAAGCGTAAAATACAGAAATACTACAGAGGATGGGATGATTAATTTGAGGGGCCGGTCAAAGAAAATATAGAGATGCTAGCACCTGAGCGGATTTTGAACAATGAATACAAGTTTTAAGTGGAAGAGATGGAGAGCATTTTAGGCAAAAGGAATACCGTAAAGATACGAACAAGTAAAACTGAATATGTGACCAGGAAATTTTAGGTAGTTTTGCTGGAGCAAAATCTGAGGAAGGATAATTGTTATAAAAAGCCCTAACACATGCTATAATTACTAAGTTAAGTAATTGGTGTATTGAATATATAAAATGGAGACTTCCCTATAATTTGATATTGCTGCTATGTCAAGTATAGTGGAATTAATAGTTTTTACTAATGGTAGTAATTAAGAAATTATTAAATATTTATATGTGATGAGCTACCTGCATATTTATAAACTTGTTTTTTGTGCATTTTGACCTGAACCATTTATTTTTTAATTTACCTTGTAAATTTTGTCTTCAACTGAATTAGCCTTTAAATTATTTTTATTTTATTCTTTAAAATATTTTTATTGATTCCAAAGAGGAAGGGGGGGGGGGGAGAGAGAGAGAGAGAGAGAGAGAGAGAGAGAGAGAGAGAGAAAGAGAAACATCATGCCCTAGCTGGTTTGGCTCAATGGATAGAGCGTTGGACTGTGGTCAAGGGCACATGCCTGAGTGCAGGCTGGATCCCCAGTTAGGGGTGGGCAGGAGGCAGCCAATCAATGATTCTCTCTCATTGTTATTATTATTATTTCTAATAAATTTTATTGACTTTTTACAGAGAGAAAGGAGAGGGATAGAGAGCTAGAAACATCCATGAGAGAGAAACATCGATCAGCTGCCTCCTGCACACCTCCCACTGGGGATGTGCCCGCAACCAAGGAACATGCCCTTGACCGGAATTGAACCTGGGACCTTTCAGTCCGCAGGCCGACGCTCTATCTACTGAGCCAAACCGGTTAGGGCTTTCTCTCATTGTTGATGTTTCTATCTCTCTCTCCCTCTCCCTTCCTCTCTGAAATCAATAAAAATATATTAAAAAAAGAAAAACAGTGATGAGAGAATCATTGATTGGTTGCCTCCTGCATGCCCCCTACTGGGGATCGAGCCTGCAACCAGGCATGTGCCCTTGACCAGAATCAAACCTGGGACCCTTCAGTCCGCAGGTCAATGCTCTATCCACTGAGCCAAACTAGCTAGGGCAGCCTTTAAATTATTTTTAAAAGGAGACTAAAAGGGAAGATGGGAAACATAAGAAATAATAAGTAGATTTCTGGACTAAAATCTAATTTGTGTAGTATTTCAGTATTATGTAAATGTTTAATATATAGCACTAGCTACCACATCCAGAGACTGACCAATGTAGGTAGTTTAGGGGATCTCCACTATACTTCACTTTTTGCATTGTATACCTTAATTAAATCTATATCATTTAAATGTATATAAATGCAGAGATATTAAAAACTGTGTGAGAGAGAAAGGGAAAATAGTAGGGGAAGACAAAGAGCTCTATTTGAATCTATTTATCCTATTGTCTCTTAAATAAGACCAGAGATGGAGGTCAAGAGTTTTAGGACACAAGATTGAAGGAATATTAACCCTAGCCATACCCTGAATTATATTTAAAAATCCTGATGTCATAGTCTGCCTATTTATTCCTTTTTCTCTTCAGTAGTTAAAAGAATGAATTCTTGGATTGATAATATAATTTTTGAAAATTTGGAAAAATTTGTTAATGAAGGTAATGTTCTCCAAAAACATGCAACATAATCAGTCTTTGACAGTTGCTGTCTGTCATTTGTCCTCTGCCTCACTAACATTAAGGACCAAAGGCATCTCATTGTCAGTTCTGACCTGCAGTTGCCCTTTCCAAGTTTGACACAGGGCAGAAAAATCAATATTGCATTGATTACATCAGTTTACTTTTTTGAATTTGGGTATAAACATTTTCCCTTTTCAAGATGAGATATTTTTCTTTTTAAAAAAATTTAAATTCTTTATTATTTAAAGTATAACCTGTGGGTTGCGACCCCTTTGGGGGTCGAACGACCCTCTCACAGGGGTCGCCTAAGACCATCGGAAAACACATATGTAAATTACATATTGTTTTTGTGATTAATCACTATGCTTTAATTATGTTCAATTTGTAACAATGAAAATACATCCTGTATATCAGATATTTACATTACGATTCATAGCAGTAGCAAAATTACAGTTATGAAGTAGCAACGAAAATAATTTTATGGTTGGGGGTCACCACAACATGAGGAACTGTATTAAAGGGTTGCGGCATTAGGAAGGTTGAGAACCACTGTTC